CACAATTTGGGTAATGAAAATAAATAAAATAAAAGTAATAAATATTGCATTTTGGGATTGGTCGGGAACAATAGAAAAAGGATTAAGTATGTAGTATTATATGGGTATTAATTTTTGGATGTTTTGAATTAGGTTCCTGATCGTTCTGTCAATTTAGCATTGAGATCGAGCCTTTGGTTTTAAGCGAGCGAGGTAAGTAAATTTATGGTAATGCCCGTATAGTTTTTAAAAGCATGTTTTGATTTGTTTTTGAAATGGTGGCGGGACTAAACCCGTTTTATGCAAAAGTAAGTATGACTGATTTGAAGTGAAATTTTTATACTTTTCATTAAATTGAGCATGCCTATTTAAAATTTAATTGATTGTCCTGATGATTTGAAGTGATTGGTGAAGCGATTGGTGAATTATGTTTTTTCTGTTAACTTCAGCCTGTTTTGTCTCCGATGTGGTCATGTTTCTGTAATCCTGCTAGTGGGGGTTAAACGCTAGCACATGTCGACATGTATTTCTGTAGAGCCGGTTCCTCCTGCCAGGAGTTGTTAAACACTAGAATTTCTGTAATCCTGCTAGTGGGGGTTAAACACTAGTAATTTCTGTAATCCTGCTAGTGGGGGTTAAACACTAGTAAATTTTGTAGCCTTCCAGTGGGAGGTTTAAACACTGGCCATGACCTATAGAGGAGGCATCTATTTCGTTCCTGTACTATATCCGTTTTTCGTAATTGCACTTGTTGGCATGCTATAAGTTTAATAAAGGGCACTTCATATTTTACTTACTGAGTTTTATCTCATAGTTTTTCTCTTGTCCACCATTTTAGGTAGTATGACCCGAGACACGGAAATCAAAGGGAGTGACGAGCTAATTGGCTAGCTATGGCAATTGGGTATAGATTTTGAGTTTAGATTGTCCTTGTAAGTTAGATTCATTATTTTGAGTGTAAGTCATGTTGGACATAGATTTATGGAATATATTATCATTTTTGGACGATAGATTGTACCTTGAATTTTATGGTATTAAAACAGATTTTGCGAGAATAGAATTTGTGATTTGGATAAGTTTCGAGCTTTGTGCATTTGTGGAACCCTTTCGCGAGTGTACGGCGTTTGTTACGCCTCGAATTTGGGTTCTGGGACGTGACAATCGTCTTGCTGCTATGGCCTATTCCCAGCAGGGAGATTTTGTCATTTTAGAGGGTTGCCCCTCAACCCTTTTTATGTATCTCTATGTTGATATGTTGGGAACTATGTATCCCAGAAACTAGTTTATTTTGTATCTTTGTCTTCTAGTTTAATATTACTCTTCATTCCACCAAAAAAAAAAAAAAAAAAAAAAA